GAGAGAGAGAGAGAGAGAGAGAGAGAGAGAGAGAGAGAGAGAGAGAGAGAGAGAGATGGGCGAAAACGTGTGCGAGAAAGCATCAACTTCTGGACGACATCGCGTGCGACAATGGGGGGCAATAGAAGTGGGGGGAAGGAACGAGGCTGCGGCAGGCGCTAGCAGAATCAGTACAAGCCGGCTCTTTGCCAAACAACAAGTCAATCACAGGCACCCGCGACGACTACCATCTTCCCCCGACCACAACGCACCCTCGTTATTATGACTGTACCCGACCGGCAAGATTGGTTGTATACATTCATTATTATCAGGGTGCGTTATGTTCTGAGGAAGACGGTAATCCTTGCCCTACTTGGCCACAGTGGCATGGAAATCCTAGCGTCTTCACCTGACTAGAACCCGCGGTTAGTTTAGGTGTGCATCTCGACTCTCAGCTATTGTTGTCCCCTGTTCTTCTGGATTGTTAATCATCATTCCATCAAATCCTGAATGGAACATACATTGAAAATCATCATCCCCCTTCAAAAAAAGGGAAACAATAGAAATATCAAAAAACGAAAATATACAGTAATACTAATATCTATGCCCCCCTTCCCCGGCCCCCTTCCCCTGATTTAGTTAGTTCAAATCAACGCAATCCACAACTCTACTCCTGGGTCTGATCCCGACCAGAGATGTTGGGATCATTCCCCTTGGGCCGCGCAGATTGATGTGAGGGACGCTGGGGCTGCCTGCTTCCCAGTACCTTCGTCGGTTCGAAAATACTCTGCCTCCGACCTTTCAGGAGGCCGAAACGAAACAACGGCCGCCGATCAGATTGATCAACGTCGGGCTTGGCCTCCTGAAAGTTCGGGTACTGGCCAACCGGACGCCAAGGTACTGGTGGTTTAAAAAAAAAAAAAAGAAAAAAAAAAAAGAACTCTAGTCCACTGATGTCTTTACCGGTACCCGTGAGACGTCGATCGTTGCCTTCCGTCGGCACCAAGCTGTCATCAGCACGTCATCTTCATAAAAAAATAAAATAAAATAATGGAAAGAAAATACCATAGGCTGCCCGTACATTGCACCAGGACGGAGTTCTTGGAGAAATGCGGACCGCAGATAATACAGATCTATGGTCATTTTCCTGTTTTTTTTTTTTTTCCTTTTTTTGCAAGGAAGATGAGCATTAGCGAACTTTGGCAATCAAACAGCATCATACATATGAGCCCAGATAGTCTTGACCTCGAACCACAGCAGACTGGCATCACGAGATACACCAAATCAGAACACACCAAGGTTCAAAATTGACAATGCTGAAGTAGTACGAACCAGAGTTGATATCCTATTGGCGCTCCGCGCCCAGACTACAGGTGGCAGATCCTGTCTAGCCTATACTACGAAGCAGAATGATGACATCAACAGCGTTCCCGAAGTACGAGCATATGGCGACCAATGTCGCACGCTTCAGCACCAGGTATGTCTCTCGTAACACTCACAACCCCGATCCACACCGCACAGATGCCACTAGCACCCCAAGGACCACCCTGCGCTTCACCTTGCATACAGCAGCGCAGCTTGGCTATGGCTGCGTGCTCCCTCCTACTCGCCCGTGAGAGCGTGAGTGCCAGCCAGCCAGCGGATTGCGCAGCAGCGCTCACACAGCATGCAGCCAGCACCCGAATGCCGAATGAGGAGGCAGGCCCTTCCCTATATCGAAGTGGCCTGCCTGCGTCCAGTCCAGGAAGCTTCCGGTAGGCCTCGGTAGGCACAGGCCCAGTCACGAAGAGAGCAGGCCTTGGGCCTGAAGTGGTTGCATGCGCCCAACTGCTTTCGGCCTGTGTTTGGCCCGGTACCCGTATCCAGCCCAGGGCCTGCTTCACATTCATTTACACAGGCGGCCCAGGGCCTGGATTCATTCAACCAACTGGCGCAACGCAACTGTCTGAATTTCCCTGATGCGGGGTACCCTGAAGAATGAGGCCCGAAGGGCCTGTCGTGCCTGCCTTCACTTAGGGCGGCCGACCTTGTTGCAGATAGGGCCCCGTAGGGGCTAAGCGGGCATAGCCTCGCATTTTGTTTGTTTTGTTTTGATGGTGAGTATTTGGGAGTTCCTTTCTACAGTGGATTGTCGGCCATTTAGAGAGAGGCTCTCTCTCGACGGGATCGCGATCGGTGTGATTACACGTGCCCCCCTCCAGTTTTTGTGATTGGATTCGATCTCTTGATTGGATTGGACAAGGACGGAAACTCTGACCGACCGCTCTTGTCTCGATCGGTTAATTTTTTACAGTAATAATTGAATGATTCTGTAGTACGTAGTGGCGTCCAATCAACTAGCAGCAGGACTTTTGAATGATAGCAATTGGACCTCGATGTCTGATTTGAAGCGTTGACCTGATCGACTGCGATCCCTACACACTACCAGTCGTGTAGTTGGAGTCGTTGGGCCTGGCCGCACCACCACTCACACACCGAGTGTGAAAAAGGACAAAGATATGGTGGGTGCATCTTTCCACCTTCGTGCGGCGAGGGTCGTTGTTGGCTTTTGCTGTCTGGGAAAGCCATCCGTCGAACCGATCAAAGACTTCGACGACGTCAAGTATGACCCCCATAAAAGGGGGGAAAAAAAGGGGAAAAAAAAAGGGGAAAGAAATCCGACCAAAGACTCTCGTCCCCGTGGACGGCTTTTTTTTTCTCGGCTTGCCGCACAGTTCGACCGGCGGCCTACCGGTAGACGCAAACCGGCCCCACTGCTGCGCAAGCCTAACGTGGGTCTCACGCCACTGGTCGAGCGGACTACCGCCTTCCCCCGAATAGAATTTATGGTCATTATCGTCTCTGTATCTGGACTCAAACTTGGCCCAAGTATCGCTGTAATGACCGTACGTTCTATTCGGGGGAAGACGTTAGTCAGTAGTTCTATGACAACGGATCGCGTGTGCCTGTGTAAGTCTGTGCGTGTGTGTGTGTGTGTGTGTGTGTGTGTGTGTGTGTGTGTGTGTGTGTGTGTGTGTGTGTGTGTGTGTGTGTGTGTGTGTGAGAGAGAGAGAGAGGGAGAGAGAGAGAGAGAGATTGTTTGGCAATGGACGATCGTTAGCATCTCTGTCAAATGATACGTATGATTGACCCATTGGCGGCTCCGCAGCAGCTACTGCTACTTTCATTGTATGACAATTGACTTTGTGAAATGGACTGTGTGACAATGGACTAATTCTTTTACTTGGGGCATGTCCATTAAAGAAAAAAAAAGAAAAGGAAAGAAAAAGAAAAGTAAAGAAAAGGAAAGGATAGGAAAGAAAAAGAAAAGAAAAGAAAAGGAAAGGAAAGAAAAGGAAAGAAAAGAAGAAAAGAGTGGACTTTTTGACAAAGGATTGTCTGACGACGTCGAATCTGATTAATTGTGTGTGTGACACATTGTCAATGGACTTTCTGACATGGACTGTGTGACGATGGACTATTTTACTTTGGCCAGGATCATTAAAGAAAGGAGCAGAAAAGAAAAGGAAAGAAAAAGGAAAAAGGGAAACAATGGACTGATATGATTTATCCGCCAGAGTGGCCTACATTAACCGAAGTAGATAGCCTGAAATGTTCTTGGCGGTTCTAGAGCATCTCACTTCCCTCTCCATTTCTCTCCTTCTCTCCCTTTCTCTTGCCCGCTGTTCGACTCTCGGTCTCTCTCTCTCCCTTCGTTTCCTACCCTCTGTCTCTTCCTCCTTTTCTTTCCCTCCTCCGCTCCCTCTCTGCTCCCTCTCTAGCCCCCCTATGGGTTCTCTAAGTTTGCCTCTCCTCTTCTCTTCTCTTCTCTTCACTGCTTCCCTGTGCTCGCAGCTCTTTCTCCTTGTTTCTTTTCCCCCTACCCGTCTTCCGCCAAATAGAACGTATGGTCATTATCGCTGTATGTAGACGGAAACTTGCCCCAAATACCGCTATAATGACCGTATCTTCTATTCGGGGAGCAAGACGGTACCTGTCGGTTGCTTCCCTTCCTTTTCTTTGCTGCCTCCTTTTTGTCCCCTCTCCCTCGCCTTCCCTCTGTCGCTCGTTCCCCTCGTTTCTCCTGTCTCGACCTCCTCGCTCTCTCTTCCTGGTACCTCATCGGTTGTCCCGCCGGTCCCTACAGGCTGCTTTGTCCGTTTCAGAAGAGCCCCGTGGAACCGTCCTTGTGGCTCAGTGGTACACACGTGTAAGTTGACGCAACAACGTTTTTCAATAGAGATCATGAGTTCAAATCCTGATAAATGCAGTACTGTTAGGGTTTATGCCCCCCC